CCTACCCAGCAGCACCGCTGAAGAAAGGCCTGGCGATCTGCTGCAGTAAAGATGACTGCCAAGAAAACTCTAAGGAGCAGTTCTACTCTGTAACACATGAGGTCGCCATGAGTCAGAATTGACTTGATGGCAATGGGTTTGGATTTTTTTTTTTTTTTTGGTTTATCATGTCTCCTATTTTACAGATGAGAAAACTGAGGCCCAGAGACGTGAAGCGACTTGCCCAAGGCCACACAGCCTATCAGTGACAAAATTCACTCAGTTTCGGGCTGTTTCTGCCATCTGATACTGAGATTCTCAGACAAAACCTGGGGCTGTGGGGAGTGGTACAGAAAATGGGGGCAGGAACCTAGTTTTCATCAGAGCTGATGAATACCCTCTATCCTCAAGAGGGAAGCGGGGGAAGAGGCCCTGGCTGGAGAGCGGATGAGGGGGGAGAGGATGGAGTCCTGAGGATTATTGAGAATTCCCTCCCAATCTTCCAGAATCTTCCAGAGATGCAGACGTGGCCCCAATCTTGGTGATTGATTTAGGGGCAGGAATGGGGTGAGAGGGGCACCTGTGTGAGCCCAGGGAAGAAAGTGAAATCAAGAGGGGGCTGGATGATTGATGGGAAGGCACCCTGGGGGGTTAATTACCTAATAGGCTTAATGGTCTTATTAGGCAAGTTTAAGAGGATTGCCTTGGGCTCAGGAAACCCCTTAATTCTAGACCCCCTCCCATGCCACATCCAGCCTCTCGCCCCCATACTCCCATCTTAACACACTAGGAAACCCAGAACCTTGAATCTTAAGGGACCAGGCTGAGATGGACGGGGCTCCCAGTCCCCTGCCCCCTGACCCCACCTCCATTTTTACTAGCGCAGTCTCTTTAATCTGCTCTGTGTCTCCGGCTTTTGTGTTAGATGCTGAAAATAGACTTACTTTCCTTACAAGAAGGAGTTCCTGGGTGATACAAATGGTTAATGTGCTCAGCTGCTAGCCAAAAAGTTGGAAGTTCAAGCCCACCCAGAGGCACCCGGAAGAAAGGCCTGGTGACCTATTTCTGAAAAATCAGCCATTAAAAACCCTATGGAGCACAGTTCTACTCTGACACACATGGGGTTGCCATGGGTCAGAATTGATTCCACAGCAACCGGTTTTTTGCTTAAAAGAAAGAAGTTGAAAACCCACTGGGGGACAGTTTAAGAGCTTAAGACCTTAATCTTTGGAGGCAGAATGGCCTGGCTTCTCTCATCCTACTTCCAGTGTGTGTGTGTGTGTGTGTGTGTGTGTGTTTGCAGACCAACTATGTGCTGGGCACTGTGGGGTCCCTGGGACAGAGAGGTGAGCTCTGCTGACATGATCCACAGCAGACCTCAGTGACGAATTGCTCTGAAGGCATAAGACAAGGGGACCCGTCCCATGCTCAGGGTTCAGGGAAAGCTTCAGAGCAGGGACCTGAAGGAGGAGAAGAATTCGCTGGGGGGAGGAGTTCCAGGCAAAGGGAATATGCAAAGGACCTGGGGTGGGAGGGAGCAGGGAACAATTAGAAGATGAGAAAGGGAGGCTGGAAAGGTGGATGGGGCCAAATCACAAAGGTTCCAGAATTACTATCCTGGGAAGACTTAGGGGCAACAGCTTGGTTAGAAGGTAGGAAGAGGTTAGGGACTTGCTTGAGGCTGCAGTCTCAGAGTACTACACACAGCCAAGAAAACATCATTGGTCCATAACAAAGAATGGCCAAAGTCCCACAAGCCCACCTTGGCACCGCCTCTAGGTCTTCTATGCCAACCTTGGTCATGTTGGTGTTTAGCCACCAGCAGTAGGGGGTGATAAGCAAGGGAGGGCCAAGGCTGAAACACAATTGAGTTCAAATCTCAGCCCAGCAATTGTCTGGAGGTGTGAACCTGGGCTGGTGCCTTCACTCCTCTGTGCCCTTCTATGCCTCAGTTTCCTCTTCTGTAACACTGGAGATCATTCTACCTGCCTCACTGCGAGGTTGTATGAGTCAACAAGACTGAGCTTGCAAAGCACTCAGTGCAGTGCCTGGTCAAGATTGAGTGTTCAGAGCATCCCCAGAGTCCAGCTCTTCTCAGCCTTCCAGGGCATCCTCCAGTTAGTACTGCCGTCACCTCCTACCTGGACCACCGCAGTCACCTCTTCTCCAGGTTCCCTGGTTCCATCCTCTCCCCCCACAGTCTGTTCCCCTTCTGGTTGTCAGAGGGATCCTTTTGAAACCTACATCAGATCCCATCCCTCCTTTGCTCAGAGCCGTCCTGTGGCTCCTGTCTCACTTGGCGTAAAAATCAAAGACCTCACCATGACCCACAAGAGTCAACACACCTGTCTTCCTCACCACCACCTAGTCCCCTCTCTGCCCTCATCTCTTCCCACCCTCCCCCTTGCTCACTGCTCCTCACTCTCCCCGGAACACCAGGCACAATCCTACCCCAGGGCCTTTGCATGTGTTCTTCCTCCACATAACCACAAGGTTCCATCCATTTCCTTCCCTCCTGCATAGCCTGGAGACAGTATATCATAATGGTTAAGAGGATAGACTCTGGAGACAGTCTCCCTGAGACCCAGTTGCCATCTAGTAGACTCCAGCTTACAGTGACCCCATATGTGTCAGAGTAGAACTGTGCTCCATAGGGTTTTCAGTGGGTGATCTTTCAGAAGTAGATCGCCAGGCCTTTCTTTCAGGGTGCCTCTGGGTGGACTCAAACCTCCAAACTTCCAGTTAGCAGCCGAGCATGTTAACCATTTGTACCACCCAGGGACTCCCAGTGTTGGGTTCAAATCTCCGCTCTGCTACTTAGTAGCTATGTGAACTTCAGCAATTTCTTCACCTTTGTTTCCTCTTTCATAGAATGGGTTTTAAAAATAGGACCTCTCTCATAAGATCAGTGTGAAGATTAAAAGAACTGGTATTTGTAAAGTACAGGAAATAGTTGTTGTTAGGGGCCCTCGAGTGGGTTCCAACTCATAGCAACCCTACGTACAACAGAACAAAACTCTGCCAGTGACGCCCCATGCTCACAATCGTTGTTATGCTTGAGCCCATTGTTGCAACCACTGTGTCCATCTATCTCATTGAGGGTCTTCCTCTTTTTTGCCGACCCTCTACTTTACCAAGCATGATGTCCTTCTCCAGGGACTGATCCCTCCTGATAACATGTCCAAAGTATGTGAGAGGAAGTCTCGCCATCCTTGCTTCTAAGGAGCATTCTGGTTGTACTTCTTCCAAGACAAATTTGTTCGTTCTTTTGGCGGGAAATAGAGTCTATCACATATTAGGTATGGTACGTTGCTGTTAGGTGCCATCAAGTCAGTTCCAACTCATAGCGACCCTATGTGTAACAGGATGAAACATTACCCAGTCCTGCGCCATCCTCACAATAGTAAGTAATGTTTGAGCCCGTTGTTCCAGCCACTGTGTCAGTCCGTCTTGTTGAGGGTCTTCCTCTTTTTCCTTGACCCTCTATCAAGCATGATGTCCTTCTCCAGGGACTGATCCCTCCTGATGATGTGTCCAAAGTAAGCGAGACAAAATCTCACCATCCTGGCTTCTAAGGGGCATTCTGGCTTTACTTCTTCCAGGACACATTTCAGGGAGTCTGGCTCCAGCCATACCAGCCTCCTCACTCTCTCTGGAGCACCAGGCACAATCCTACCCTAGGGCCTTTGCACTTGCTCTTCTTCCACATAACCACGTGGTTCCATTCCCTTCCCTCTCTATGGGTTAGGATTGTGCCAGGTGTTCCAGGGAGAGTGAAGAGGCCGGTGTGTCTGGAGCACAGTGAGCAAGGTGGAGGTGGGGGAATGGGAGGAGATGAGGGCAGAGAGGAGACCGGGTGGTGATGACGGGGCCAGATACGTTGAGTCCTTTGATTTTTACACCTAGTGAGACAGGAGCCACAGGAGGGCTCTGAGCAACCCAACATACAGCTGCAGAAGGCGTGTTTGATAAATAAAGAACGCCGTCTTCTTGGGGAGGACTTTCCTGCTCACCGTATCCAACACAACACCCCCTCCACTCTCCACTTTCCATTCCTGTTTTCTGCCTCTTTTTGGTTTCTTAGTACTTACCATCATCTGTCATAAAATGGATTGTCTGTCTCCCCCGCTCTAGAAGAATCTAGCTGGGCAAGCTCTTGGCTGAATTACGGAAACTCTTTTGGCCTTATTTTCCTCAGTTGCCCGAGGGAGCAGGGACCTTTGTCTACCTCTGTCATGGCTGTCTCACTAGAAGAGTGCTGGGATGTCGCAGGTGCTTAGTAAATGTCTGTTGAATGAATGAATGCATGAATGAAGATCTTTTTTTTTTAATTTTTAAAAATATTTTATTTTGTTGTTGTTGAGAATATACACAGCAAAACATACACCAGTTCAACCATTTCTCCATGTACAATTCAGCGACACTGATGACATTCTTCGAGTTGTGCAACCGTTCTCACCCTCCTTTTCTGAGTTGTTCCTCCCCCATTAACATAAACTCATTGCCCCCTAAGGTTCCGGTCTAATCTTTTGAGTTGCTGTTGTTAAATTGATGCCATATAGACAGTTCTTAAATAGCAAAATGCTCAAGGCAGACCTTTTTTACCAGTTAAGCTAAACTATTGTTTGGTTTTAAGGAGCCCTGGTGGCACAGTGGTTAAGCACTCGGTGGTTTGAACCCACCAGCAGCTCCTTGGGAAAAAGATGTGACATTCTGCTTCCGTAAAGATTACAGCCTTGGAAACCCTACCGGGCAGTTCTACTCTGTCCTATAGGGTCGCTATCACTGGGAATCGACTCAACAGCAATGGGTTTGGTTTGGTTTTTATTGTTTGGTTTTAAAGATCATGATGTGTGTTACTCTCCTCGCTGCTGTTTCCGTGCTCTTTGTTCCTTTGGCGGCTGTCATCCTGGTTTCCAATGCCCACCCCTCCCGGCCTCCCTGGAGGAGGAGGGTCAGCACCTTCCGAAGGTGAAGCCCTCTCCCCGCCTGACTCCCTCCCACCCTGTGTGCCCCTGCAGAGGAAGGCGAATACTTCCTGAAGGTGCTGATCCCCAGCTACGCGGCAGGCTCCATCATCGGCAAGGGCGGGCAGACCATCGTACAGCTGCAAAAGGAAACCGGAGCCACCATCAAGCTCTCCAAGTCCAAAGACTTCTACCCTGGTGAGCTGGCCCGGGCTGTGCCCTAAGGCCTCCCCTGCCTCCCACCCGGGCCCTGGATGCGGGGGAAGGGCTCCCCTAGGGGCAGTGAGGGTGGTGAGGGTGCCCCTCCCCCTGGGGGGACAGAGCTGCACCCAGCCTGCCGGGCCAGGCCGGAGCAGATGGGGGTGGGGGCAGGGCAAGACAATGGGCCTGCTGCATATTCATGAGCTCATTTGCATGATGTGCTGGCAGATGTGCCCCTTCCCACACACCTGCCCCCTCAGGTCAGTTGGACGAGCTGGGAGGAGGGAGGCAGGTGTCAGGGTGTCCCTGGGGCTGAGGGGCAGCCATCCATGTTATACACACCCCGCTCCTTTCCCCTCATTCTTTCCCTTTGGGTTTCTCTCACCCTATCTTGGCAGATCTCAGTGTCACTGATTTCGCCCTCTCTGTCCTTCTTCATGCGTCTGTTCCTCCTTTCGTTTCTGACTTTCCCATCTCTCGTTCCCTTAGTCTCCGTTCCCATCAGTCTCCCTGCCTCTCTCCCCGCTTCTCTCTCTCTCTCTCTCTCTGCCTGTCTCTGTCTCTGGTTCTGTTTGTGTCTCCCCATCCCCGCCGGCCTGTCACTACTTTTCTTTCTCCCTCTCCTCCTCCTTCCCTCCCTTCCTGTCTTCCCATCTCTCTCCCCCTCTTTTCCATTCCCTCCACCACTCACACTCTCCCACTTTTCTTCCTCTGTCTCCCTGAACTCCCTCTCTCGTTCCGTCATCCATTCAACACATATATAGTGAGCCCCCTCAGTGAAGTCATTCTCCGGTTGGGCTACCTCTCCATTCTTTCTGCTTTCTCTTGCCCATCTCTCCCTGCCTCCCTTTAGGAATCTCTCTCTGAAGTCTCAGCTTCCTCCTTTTTTGATTTATCCAAACCCAGCCCATTTTCTGCCTCTCCTCCAGCTCCATCTCTCTCCCCTAGCTATACACCAGTTGCTGTGGAATTGACTCTGACTCATGGTGACCCCGTGTGTGTCACAGTCGAACTGTGCCCCACAGGGTTTTCAGTGACTGATTTTTCAGAAGTAGATCACCAGGCCTTTCTTCCAAGGCACCTCTCGGTGGACTTGAACCTCCAACCTTTTGGTTAGCAGCTGAGCACTTAACCATTTGCACCACCCAGGGACTCCCTAACCATACTGCCCATAAACTGTTCATGGCCCCTCCACTCTCTCTAATCCCCCTCAGTATTTCCCTCCCAAGATCAGTGCCTGAGCCTTGGCATCTAGGAATCCAGTGAAGGTCTCCGAGTTGCACCTCTGGTTCAGCGCCAGTGCTGGCTCATCCTTAATCCCCTAGGATTTTTTAGGTCAAACAGCAGAGCTGGAGTCCAGAGTCAGGACACACACACACACACACACACACACACACACACGCACACACACACACACACCTCTCTCTCTCTCCCCGCTGCCCATTTCACTAAGCAGCTTTGGCAAGAGGTTTAGAGAAAAGTCCAGGGAACCAGGCACACCCCTCCCTTTCTCGTCCACCCTGGCCCGGTTTCCCCCACACCCCTCTAGCCCACAAGATACAGATCAGACCTCTGCTTGGGACATTCATCCACTGACACTTGGTTCTTTGCCTGTGGATCACATTCTGTGGCATGAGACCGTGTTGTCTCCACTCAACGTACCCCACAGGCTGAGCAGCTGAGAACCCCAAAGGGTGGGACAAACACTATTCAGACAAACAGCATGAGCCAGCATTTTCCCCAGGCCCGCTACTGACCCAGAGCTTCCGGACCATAGAGCCTGGGCTGTCTCCTGACTTAGAGATGCAAGACACAGCACCTACATCCTAGTCCTGTCCCTGCGACAGGGAGCACAGGAAATAGAGATGCTACTGCACGAGGCAAAGAGCATGTTTCCCTCCACCCCGGGGTGATGTCTTTTCATTCATTCATTCATTTAGCACATATTCTCTGAGCATTTCCTCAGAGCCAGCTGTGTGCTGGACAGAGCTGGGGACACGGCGGTGATTGAGACAGCCCGAGCCTTGCCCTCATGGATCTCACAGCCCCGTGGGGGAGACGGATACCAGTGAAGATGCTGAGGTGGCAGGGCTGGGATGGGGAAGCCGAGAAGACGGCGGGAGCCTAGGCAGGACCCCTGACCCAGCCTAGGGGCTCAGGGAAGGGTTTCTGAAGGAAGGGCCCAGAAGGATACGTAAGAGTGAGCTAGGGAAAGAGCAGGAAAGGGTGCTCTAGGAAGACGAGCTAGCATGTTCAAAGGCTAAGAGGGTGGACTGTGCAGTGTGTACCAAGCAAGCATAGAGAACAGTTGAGAAATGACAATGGAGAAGTTGAAAGGGTCCTCCATGCCTGGTAGGTTCACACACACACACACACACACACACACACACACACACACACACACACACACGGCACTTGTGTGTCTACTACCTGAAACAAAAACCTGGCCCTTAGCCCCAGGCAAGGGGCTGAGATACTACAGAACACACACAGGGTGCCCCCTCCCTGGTGCAGGAACCCCAAAACCCCAGACTGAATCCTTGCAGGTCATACACAAAGACCCAGAAAGAGGCAGCCTAAGGCCACGCAGATTCCTGTACACCAGCCCAGACCACCCTCAAAGAACCAAACCCGTTGCTATCAATTCCCACTCATGGCAACCCCATATGTCACAGAGTGAAAGCAAGCTCCATAGGGTTTTCTTGGCTGTAATCTTTATGGAAGCAGATTGCCAGGCCTATCTTTCATGGTGCCGCTTGGCAAGTTTGAACTGCCAACCTTTAGGTTAGTATCAAGTGCAAACCATTTGTACCAGCCAGAGACCTCAGACCACCCTAGTGAATCTTAAAACTGCTTCTGATTTGAAGCATCCGTCTGAAGGTATAGTCCCTACCCCAGAAGAAAAGCACAAACACACACACTTTTTAAAAAAAATTTGTATTGATTTATAACATGCTTGCACCAAAGTGTAAAATCTTAAGTGACTACTTAATAAATTCACACATACTCGTTTTTTAATATCAAAAATGTAAAACCAAAACTACAGTTATCATATCCCTCCCCCCACACACACGCATATAAAGCTAACCATTCCACACAACCCATAATTTTGCAGAGTAGTTTGTGCTCGACTGCTAACCTGAAGGTTGGCAGTTTGAACCCACCTAGGGGTACCTTGGAAGAAAGGCCTGGCAATCTGCTTCCATAAAGAGCACAGCCAAGAAAACCCTACGGAGCAGCTCTACTCTGTGACACATGAGGTCGCCATCAGTTGGAATCGATCGCAACTAACAACAACAGACTTTGAAGCCAGACACCTGGGTTCAAAACCCTGAGCTTTTCACCACTGAGCAAACTTGGCCAAATTCCTTACCCTTTCTGTGCCTCAGTGTCCTTAGCAGTAAATCAGGGATAATAATATTGCCTACCTCATACAGTAAGTGATTAATGTATGTAAAGTACTTAGAAGGGTGCCTGGCATATGGTGTTATATAAGCCTCAGCTGTTATTATTAGATACTCTTTCAAGGTTTAACTGAGTCCCCCCAAAGTCCCTGTGGCCCCCAGGTTAAGAATTGCAAAGAGGGAGTGGTGATCACAGACTTCCTCAGCTGAAAAAGAGCTCAGCAGAGACTGAGAACCTGGCCACTTCAGCTAGGCTCTCCCTGGGGCTCCCCCTTCCCCCACCCCGCCCCCAGTTCCTACCCTGCCCCACACCCTTTCCTATTTACACCCCAGACAGAGGCAGCCTGCACGCTGAGTCACCCTTGGCTCAGACCAAGCCATTGTTCGGGGGTGGGGGGGTAAGAGGGAGGGACAGTGGCCCAAAGGAGGTGGGGGATGTCAACCGCACAAGTGACCCAGATACAGTGACACCCAGACACATGGCGAGACCGGCATGCCAAGCTGGGAGATGACAGGCGATGCTTTCAGGACACTGGACGCTCACCCCTCAGTGTCCCAGACACTCCGGAGGCACTGGAGGCTGGCGCACGGACCCAGGGAGCTAACTGGGTCCAGCCCAAGTAGACACACACTCAGTCCACACGCAAAAATGGCCCAGGCTCACCCAGGCACTCACGTTCCCCCACGTACCAGTCATGGTGGAGTCTCATTTGTCCCTCTGTTGTTCGTATACTCAGACACACATATGCACAAACACATCTGCCATCCAGTCTTACGTACTGACCCAAGTCTGTCTGTCTCTCTCTTTACACACACGCACACCTCCCCTGTCTCTCTCACACACACACTCACACTCACAACACACGTACTTCTGGCCTGTCTCTCTCTATATATATACATATCTGTCTCTCTCACACACACACACTCACGATACACACACCCCTGTCGTATCTCTCTCTACCCACTGTCTGTCTCTCACACATACACACATTCACACTCACAACACACACACACCCATGTCCTGTCTCTCTCCGTCTCTGTCTTTCTGTCTCTGTGTCTCATACACATACACACACACCCCGTCATAGAGTCCTGCCTGTCTGTCTCCTGTGCACACACTAACACATATACATACCACATCCCACTCCTCCGAGTAGTCTTATGAACATCTAGAGGGAGTGACTGTCCCTGTCTCCCATTGACACACATGGACACACACACATATGCAGACACACACCATCCTACAGTCTCAACGTGGCGAGCGTTCATCTCACAGTGCCGCTTAGTGAGATTCTTTGTTTCTTTCTCGCAGACTCTCACGTACACTCAGCTCCGTCCCACAAATAGCATGAACGACTTGGATCATCGTGGTGACACCCAGGGTCTTTCCCCCACCCAAGGGCCCGCAGGAACATCTTCACTTGAATCACTGTGTCACGCAGTTTGTTTAGAACTCAGCCTTTCCTGCTCTTTCTCTTCTATACACAAACACAGATAAAGATGAGCTATCGGTCCCACCAAGTGTGTGTGTGTGTGCGCGCGCGCACACACACACAAGCCCGTTGCCCACTCAGCCTCATGGAGGCACATACACTGGTGACAGTGTTACCCAGAGTCTCTCTCCCATGCACGGACATCCCAACACCTCTCAGAGTTAGCTTCTCTCCTCCCCCGCCTCTTCTCTCTCTCTCTCTCTCTCTCTCTCACTCAAACACACACACACACATGAATGAGAAAGATGCCCAAGTCAGGACCGCAGCCAATATCTGGTGAATCTCCTCCAGCCAAGGCACCAGCCCACCCTTCCTTCCTGGTCCCCCCGTCCACAATCCCCCACTCATTCCCTTTGACCCAGCTTACTCTCCCCTTTCCACACCCCTGCCCTCCCCCACCCCTCAGCCTTCCATCTGGTGGGTCCAGGCAGCCACTCAGACCTCTCTTCCACCTCCCCCATCCCCCGGCTCTTCCCCATCCTCTCCAAAAGCCCAGAGGCCTTCGCGCAGGCTTTCAGGGGTTGCCATGGCAACAGGACCTTGTCCCTCATCCCCCTGGGGGTGGGCTGAGGACCCGGCCAGCCAGACCGATTAGGGGGTTCCAGTTACTGTGGCAACCATTGCAGGCCTGAGCTCACCGCTCCTAGAAGGGCGGGCAGTGAATGAATGGTTGCCAAAGCAACCAGCAGCCGGCAGAGACTGGGAAGGGGCAGCTGAGCCCTGTCTCCCCCTGCCCAGGGCTGCTGCGGGCATCGTTCTTCCATACCCTGGCGTTGTTTTAGGGGAGGGTGATGAAGTGCAGATTATAAAACATTCTCCCAGCTGCCAGTCATGGCTTAGGAGCCCATGCCAGCTTGCCCAGGCTCCCCATGTGGACTAGGGCCAGTCAGGTCCACTCTCTGGGCCTCAGTTATCCCCTTCCATTAAATGAGGCCTGTCTCAGAAGAAAGGCCTGGCAGTCTACATCCGGAAAAGTCAGCCGTTGAAAACCCTGTGGGGCACAGTTCTACTCTGACACACATGGGGTTGCCATGAGTCGGGGGTCTCTCAGGAATGTCACCATTCCTGTCTGATGTGTCTGCCCTCTCTCTTCCTGGCTCAACAGGAACCACAGAGCGGGTGTGCCTAGTACAGGGCACAGCAGAGGCCTTGAATGCTGTGCACAGCTTTATTGCTGAGAAGGTCCGAGAAATTCCACAAGCAATGACCAAGCCTGAAGTGGTCAACATCCTTCAACCCCAAACCACGATGAACCCCGACAGAGCCAAGCAGGTCAGCTGGGGCAAACTGCGTTGTTGTAATGCTGGTGACGTTTGGGAGGAATCAAATCCTCCATCACTGGGTTACTATGGGAGTTCATTGGGATAGTGCCTATAAAAGGTTTATCAGTCAATATATGGTAATGTTTATTATTATTAGGAGTCCTGGTGGTGCAATGGTTAAGCGCTCAGCTTCTAACAGGAAAGGTCAGCCGATCGAACGTACCAGTTGCTGTGTGGGAGAAAAATGTGGCCATCTGCTTCTGTAAAGATTACAGGCTTGGAGACCATAAGGGGCAGTTCTACTCTGTCCTATAGGGTCGCTTTGATTCAGAATCAAGTCACCAGCAACGGTTTTTATTATTATTATTATTAGCAAGTCAACCCTAATAGAAAAGACTCCAGGCCTCTTGGAGTTGGCTTGATTCAGAAGGGGAGTGAAGGTCTGGGAAAATTTGGCCGAGCCCCCACTTATCCCTCTTTCCTGAGATTCTCTAGACTCTCATCTTCCCTCCACCGCATCCCATTGTCTCTCTGAGCAACCTGCCTCCCACTTCCTGTTCTCACCGGAAGTGACCTCAGTGACAGCCCAGCCACAACCAGAAGAGTTTGGAAATGGTCTCTCATGCTCCCTCCTCCCTCCCATTAGTTAATTACTGTAAGAGGGTAGTCACCATTTTGGAGAAAGGGCCGTTAGCGGGTCCGGGGGCGGGTCCTTCTCCCACACAGCCCTCTCTAGGAAGGCTGAGGGCAGCGCCTTTCCGTTGCCTCAGTTACCAGGAAGCGGTGGCGTAGGGGCGTGGCAGGGAAGGGACCAATCGCTTCCCGGGCCTCTCCAGTTGCCATGACGACGGTGCGCGCGGGGCAGGTGGGCTCACAGCAAGGCCCCTGGCAGTTCGGTCCTGACCGGTGGGAGATGAAGAGGGAGGGAAACGCGGGGCTGGCTGCGCGCGCTCCCGGTTTTCTCTCTCCTTCCCGCTGCCACACACATGCGCACTCGTCGCCAAGGGGCGAGAAGTCCCGGGCCGGTGGGCAGGCTATTTGCAAGTGTTCCTAACGTCAGCCGAGAGGCAAAGACAGGAGAGACGGTCTCGGTAAAAGGGATCTGGAATTCTGGGATCCTGTCTTTGCCCCGAAGTGGAGAAGACCACGGGTCTGAATTCCCCCAAGCTCGTGGCGAAATGGTGGGCGGAGAGCCCTGGAGGAGTACTCCGAAAAAGATTGCGGGTTTAGGGAGTGGAGCGCAGCTGCTGTCCTCGGTGCTGAAGCGGCTCTGTTCGGTCTTCACGCCCCTCCGGGCCTCTCCTGAACTCCTTCCTACCAGCTTACTCACAGTTTACAGGGAGTACAGGGCATCGCCTCTTCTGCCTTGACCATGGCCACAAGGGCTCTGGGTTCATCATCAAGAATTTGTGAATGTTTCAGGGAAAATGGGGTCAGCACCATCTGTGCCTGAGCCTCCCACTCCCACCCCAAATCCACAGGAACTCTGAGATAGTCGGGCAGAAAGATTATAGAACCAGGCTTTATCCTCTGCCTTTTACTCCACACGTTCCAAAGAATGAGAAAGATAATGGTTGAAAGCTAAGGCTCTGGAGCCCGAGGTTGAGTTGAGTCCTACTTACTCGCTACCTATGTGACCTTGAACAAGTGACTTGATTTCTCATTACCTCATTTTTTTCATCTGTTAAGTGGGATTCATTGTGATACCTACTTAAGGGTGGTGGTTAGTGTTCACTGATGCTTGAAAAGCGCTTAGCAGGTGTGTCTAGTGCATAGAAAGTTCTCCAAAAAATGTTAGCTGTTGTTATTATTGGATTTTGGGGTCAGGAGACAGATCTACTCCCGTTTATGCTTTGGATTCACTGTGTTATTCTGGGCCCCCTTCCCTTCTCTACACCTCAGTTTCCCTTTCTGTACAGTGTGTCCGCTGGACCAAACTAAGGAATATAAATTGGAATGCCTGGAGAATCCAGGAAGGGAACATAAAGGATTGAGGACCAAGGCCCTCTAGAGAGCGTTTGCCATCCCTTAAGGGGGCAGCTGCCACTCAGCTGCAGCTGATTCTTGCCTTTTGGGAACATGGACATAGTGTGACCACATCTTCCAAATTTTTCAAAATATACCAGAAATCTTTTAAATAAATGGATTTTAAAAACTTGGATCAATTTTCAAAACACTATGTGGACCAATGAAAGCATGGCTGTGGCCTAGTTGTGGCCAGAGGGTCACGGGTTTGCCACCTCGGGGATAGACTAGTAGTTCTCAGCCCTGGCTGGCATCTGAGTCATCTAGGTAGCTTAAAATGCAGATTCCTGGATTCCAGCCCAGAACCACTGAATAAGAATTTCTGAGGATAAAGCCTGGGAATCTGAGCATGTACTCCGTCCTAGGAGCAGATCCTGCCTCTACTACTCACTGCTTTGTGTCCTTGAGCAAGTTACTTAACGTCTCTGTACCTCCATTTCCCAGTTTATAAAATGTGATAATAGTACCTACCTCATAGAATTATTGTGAAGATTAAACAAGTTAATATATTATAGTGTTTAGAAAAGTGCCTGGCAAATGACAAGCACCGTGTTGGAGGTTGTTGTTACGTCCAGCTGCGGCTGCTGCTATTGTTATTGTTATGTGAACATCTCCACAGGCTTGCGGATCACTGGTGCAGATCGTCTCTGAGGCCTTTCTGGCTCTAAAATTGCTATGATTCTATGACTCTGTGATTCCAAGATTCTAGGCCTATGTTGGAGTCTCTGGGTGGTGCAAATGGTTAAACACTTGACTACTAGCCGAAAGGTTGGTGGTTCAAACCCCACCCCCCTGGAGGCGCCTTGGAAGACGGGCCTGGTGATCTGCTTCCAAGAGGTCACAGCCTTGAAAACCCTATGGAGCAGTTCTACTCTGCACACCTGGGGTTGCCATGAGTTGGAGCCAACTCTACGGCAAGTAACGACAACAACAGGCATAGATTATTCTAAGATTGTACTCTTCTCACATGCCTGGGACTCCAGGAATCTATAGGTCTGCACCTGCAGTTCTCCCTAAGATGCTGTGGTTCTACAATTTGGAGTCTGTTAATAAGGCATCTGCCATTTCCTGAGGGCTTACCATGTGCCGGAGCCCTGGTGGTGCAGTGGTTAAGAGCTCAGCTGCTAACGAAAAGGTTGGCAGTCCCAATCCACCAGCTGCTCCTTGGAAACCATACAGGGCAGTTCTACTCTGTCCTGTAGGGTTACTATGAGTAGGAATTGACTTAACGGCAACCGGTAGGGTAGGTACCATGTACCAAGCACTGGGCAGTCATTTTACTCATTGAACATTCCCAATAATTGTATGAGGTAGGTGTGATTAGAAGGGAAAGTGTGTGGTTCGGTGGTAGTGTTCTCACCTTCCATACAGGAGACGCACGTTTGATTCCCGGCAATGCACCCCATGCGCAGCCACCACCCGTCTGACAGTGAAAGCTTGTATGTTGCTGTGATGCTGAACAGGTTTTAGCAGAGCTTCCAGACTAAGACAGATGAGGAAGAAAGGCCTGGTGATCTAGTTGTGAAAATCAGGCAGTGAAAACCCTATGGATCACAATGGTCTGATCCTATTGTGCATGGGGCCAGTTCAACAGCAGCTAACAGCAAGGTGTGATTATACCAATGCTGGAGATAAGGAGAGACTGAGGCACAGAGAGGTGAAGACATTTGCCCAAAATTACGTAGTTATTAAATAGCAGACTAGAATTTAGACCCTGCTCTGTTGAAAAAACAGCCAACAACAATCCTGCTGCTAGCTGTGGTTTTGTCGTGAGAACTAACACTGACTGACCGATTACCATGGGGCAGGCTGCCAGTATCTCAGTGAATCCTCCCCCAAAACCATATGGATCATGAATGATATGCCCATTTTACAGATGTGGAAAAAGAGGCTCAGAAGCGTGAAATGACTGCCTTAGGCCGCTCAGCTAGGAAGTGGCAGTGGTGAGATTTTTTTTTTTTTTTTATCTTTTTCTTTCCCCCACATGATCAGCCAGTTGTCCCCAGACCTTCTCTGGGATAATCCATCCTTCCCCACTGCTCTGCAGTGCCACGTCACATACTAAATATCTCTTGACCCTTAGGTCTGCTTTTGTACATGCTTTTCTATCCCCTTGTCAGGCTGTTCTGTATTTTCTGGTGATTTTTAAAAAAATAACAACTTTATTGAGACATAATTCACCTACTATAAAGTTCGCCATTTTAAAGTGTATAATTCAGTGGCTTTTTAGTATATTCACAAAGCTGTGCATCCGTCACCACTATCTAATTCTAGAACATTCTCACCACCCCCAAAAATAAACCCCATACCCATTGGTAGCCACACCTCATTCCCCCTGTCCCCTCAGCCCCTGGCAACCTTTAATCTGCCTTTGGTCTCTATAAAAACCTGTTGCCTTCGAGTCAATTCCGACTCACAGCGACTCTAGGGCAGTAGAACTGCCCCATAGGGTTTCCAAAGAGCGGCTGGTGGATTTGAACTGCCGACTTTTTGATTAGCAGCCAAGCTCTTAACCACTGTGCCGCCAGGGGTCCTTGGTCTCTCTAGATCTGCCTATTCTGGACATTCCATATAAATGGAATCATATGATATGTGGCCTCTTGCGTCTCGTGTGTTTCACTTGGCACAATGTCTTCCAGGTCCGTTCATACTGTAGCAGGTATTGTGTATTCATTTCCTCTATGGCCAAATCATCCATTATTTGGATCTACCACCTTATGGTTGGTTATCCACTCATCAGTTGATGGACATTTGGGTTATTTCCACATTTGGGCTATTGTGAATAGTGCTGCTATGAACATTCATGTACAAAGTTTTGCGTGGACATTTGTTTTCGGTTCTTTTGAGCGTATACCTAAGAGTGGAACTGTGGGGTGATATGGTAATAGGGTTGTTGTGGGTCAGAATCGACTTGACGGCAACGAGTTTGGTGGGGTTTTTTTGTTGTTGTTGTTTATGGTAACTCTATGGGGTAGGTTTCCCCTGTCATATACGGTCACTATGAGTTGGAATCGACTCGACGGCACACGATAACAACAACACGTTAACTCTACATTTAACTTTTTGAGGAACTGACAAACTGTTGTCCAAAGTGCCTATACCACAGACGTGGGTGTTAAATCCAGGTCTGCCCATGATAGTAACCATGACAAGAACCATTTACTGAGTATCTACTATGGACACGCATTAATTGCACACTCACTTGGCACCCTATGCTTGGTCATCAGCAAACGAAGGAATGAATGATGACATGTGCACAGGGGCCAAGCAAAAACATGACTGAGCAGAGGCAACCAGATGGAACTCACCTGGTAGTGGTAGGGACTGTGAGTCACCTGAAGAGCAGCTATACTCAGTTCTAGCTAACTGTGGCCGTGCTTGAGTCTCAAGCTCATTATTGCCTGCATGAGCTCAATTAAAATTCAACTAAACCCATTGCCGGCGAGTCAATTCTGACTCATAGCGACCCTATAGGACAGAGTAGAACTGCCACATAGGGTTTCCAAGGAGCAGCTGGTGGATTTGAACTGCCGACCTTTTGGTTGGCAGCCGAGCTCTTAACCTCTGCGCCACCAGTTGGGCCTCATAATAACCCTATGGAGGAAGTGTCATTATACCCATTTTACAGATGAGAAAACTGAGTCCCAAAGAGGCTAACTCCCTTGCCTAGCTTCAGTGGTACAGCCAGGATTTGAACGTGATCCAGTGATGCCAGAGTCTAAGGCAGCTTGTCTGGGATTTGTAGGCACAGATTGCAAACTGGTGGCCTGACTAGCACATTGGATTGTTTACACTACGCAGTAGTTCTTAGAAATGTGGAAGAGATTGCCAACATTTAAAAACTGGGATGCTTTACATTTTACAAAACAGAATTCCCAGTTAATCTGGAAAATCAGAACAGACCATACTGAGCTGAGACTGGCTATCCAAATGTACAGCGCCCACACACACATACACACACACACACACACCACCACCACCACCACACCACCCAAGTGGGTTACACCTAGCTGTTCCACACAATCCCATTCCTGCTTGGTCCTGTGGGTATGTCATCATTCCTTCTTTCCTCCATCCATTCATTCACCAAGCCTTTGCTGAGCCCCTACTGTGTGCCGAACACTGCTCCAGACACTGAGGACCCAGTGGTAAACAAAACAGACAAACATCCCTATCCTCGTGGATCCTAAATTCGTTTGAGGGGAAACAGGAGATAAACAAGTAAATAGGTAAAATATATAGGATGTTAGAGAGTGAAAGGAAGTGTTGGGGCATGTGTATTTTTCTCTAACTTCTTATTTTGAAAATGTTTAAAAAATAGTACGATGCACTGCCTATACACCGCACTGAGATTCACCAGTTATTAATATTTGCTCTATCTCTACACACACACGCACGCACACGGGGGCATTTTTGCTGATCCATTCGAAAATAAGTTGTAGACCTCATGACTCTTCACCCCTAAACACTTTAGCATTTATCTGCTAAGAACAAGGTCAGTCTCCTACATCATCATATTAGTATCACACTGTCGGGGGCAGCGGTGGCTCGGTGGTAGAATCCTCACCTTCCATGCGGGAGACCCAGGTTTGATTCCCGGCCAATGCACCTCAGCACAGCCACCACCCATCTGTCAGTGGAGGCTTGTGTGTTGCTATGATGCTGAACAGATTTCAGTGGAACTTCCAGACTCAGACAGACTAGGAAGAAAGGCCTGGCGATCTACTTCCAAAAACCAGCCAATAAAAACCCTGTGGATCACAACGATCCAATCCGCAACCGATCATGAGGATGGCGCAGGACCGGGCAGTGTTTCGTTCCGTTGTGTGTGGGGTGGTCATGAGTTAGTTAATGGCAGCTAACAACAACGAAATGTATCATGGAGTTCGTTTCTGGGCTCCGAGATTTACAAACAGGTGTTTCACCAGATAAAGGTCCTGTGAGACTTTCAAAAGTCCTGCAGGACCTGGAACGGTTTTTCATTGTGAGGGTCCGACTCTCAAACTGTGGAGTGCAGACATCCGTGGCCCTGCCCACTGAATGCCCACATCTGCCCCTAGTTCTGTGGCAATCAGAACCACGCCCACAAATTTCCCAGATGCCCCTGGGTCTGCTTAGGGATGAAGAAGAGAGGCGGATGTGAGTGTAGAATCCACAGGTCGGAGGGGATGTGGGAAGGACTGAGAAGGAGGAATTGATGTGTAGAAACGCTCTTCGTGATGTTGGTTTTGAAATCTCTGCACTGGAATCAAGGTTGATCAGATTTGCTGCTGCTTGGCCACCTGGATGGTTGAAGGAGGGGCTTCTCTGTGACTGAGAAGTGGGGGGGCATCATATTTAAGCAGCCCAATGCTTGAGACCATCCTTGAGAGGTCATCTAACCCTCTGCCTTCTCAGACCTAAGGTTTTTTATTATCTCCGTTTTACAGATAAGACAACAAAGGGGTTAAGTGAAAAGACCATGTCACAGGATGGGAAGCCCACGGACCATGAGCCCAAGAGATTGGATTGCAGCTCTATCTGAGTGGCTCTAGGGCAAGTCCTTTCACCCCTTAGGGCTCAAGTTGCTCATCTGTAAAGTGAGAAGAATGATGCCTTCTTCTGGGGCTGGGAGTCAAAGCATATAACAATGTAGAACGCAAGCTAAGAGCAGGATTCTGGAAGCCCGCACTGGGTCAGACATTAAGCCTTTAGGAGCTGGGTGAATGGGAGGTACCAGGGGCTTCGGGAGCAAGGAACAAGGTGACCAAGAGGCTACCAATAGAAAAAAAAAAAAACCTGTTGCTGTCGAGTCAATTCCAACTCATAGTGACCCTAAAGGACAGAGTACAAGTACCGCATGAGGTTTCCAAGGAGCGGCTGGTGGATTCGAACTGCTAACCTTTTTGAATAGCAACTGAGCTCTTAACCACTGTGCCAAGTACTGGCTATTCATTTATTAGCCAACATGGAAGTATTTAATTATTTTAACAACTGGTAGGGCCACAGTATGAGGCATTGGTGGTTCAGTGGAAGAATTCTCACCTTCCGTGTGGGAGACCCGGGTTCGACTCCCAGCCAATGCACCTCATACACAGCCACCACTCGTCTCAGTGGAGGCTTGCATGTTGCTATGATGCTGAGCAGGCTTCAGCGGAGCTTCCAGACTAAGGACAGGTTAAGAAGAAAGACCTGGTGATCCGCTTCCAAAATCAGCCAGTGAAAACCCTATGATCACAACGATCTGATTCCATTGTGCATGGGGTTGCCATGAGCTGGGGGCCAACTCAGTGGCAGCTAACAGCAGCAGAGTCATATCGGTGCCTACACAGGACAAACTAGGCCTAATTTTGGACAGTGGAGAGAGCAGGGGTGTGAAATGTCTTGGGGCAACAAACCCTGGACTAATGTTAATTCAGTCTCCAATGATCGCCCTAAAAAGATTTCCCTCTCGCTCCCCACGCAGGCCAAGCTGATCGTCCCCAACAGCACAGCCGGCCTGATCATCGGCAAAGGGGGCGCAACGGTGAAAGCTGTGATGGAACAGTCGGGTGCCTGGGTGCAGCTGTCCCAGAAGCCGGAGGGCATCAACCTGCAGGAGCGCGTGGTGACCGTCAGCGGTGAGCCCGAGCAGGTGCACAAGGCTGTCAGCGCCATAGTGCAGAAGGTCCAGGAAGACCCCCAGAGCAGCAGCTGCCTCAACATCAGCTACGCCAACGTGGCCGGCCCCGTGGCCAACTCCAACCCCACCGGCTCGCCGTATGCCAGCCCCGCCGATGTGCTGCCTGCTGCAGCCGCCGCCTCCGCCGCCGCCGCCGCCTCTGGCCTGCTGGGCCCCGCTGGGCTGGCTGGCGTGGGAGCCTTTCCCGCCGCCCTGCCCGCCTTCTCAGGCACCGATCTGCTGGCCATCAGCACGGCGCTTAACACGCTGGCCAGCTACGGCTACAACACCAACTCCCTCGGCCTGGGCCTCAACTCGGCCGCAGCCTCTGGCGTCCTGGCTGCTGTGGCCGCCGGCGCCACCCCTGCCGCTGCCGCCGCCGCCAACCTCCTCGCATCCTACGCAGGAGAGGCAGGGGCTGGGCCGGCCGGAGGGGCCGCCCCGCCGCCGGCCCCGCCGCCCGGAGCCCTGGGGTCCTTCGCCTTGGCCGCAGCCGCCAATGGCTACCTCGGCGCTGGGGCGGGCGGCGGGGCGGGTGGGGGAGGCGGCCCGCTGGTGGCTGCTGCGGCTGCTGCGGCGGGGGCTGGGGGCTTCCTGACGGCAGAGAAGTTGGCAGCTGAGAGCACCAAGGAGCTGGTGGAGATTGCGGTGCCCGAGAACCTGGTGGGGGCCATCCTGGGCAAGGGGGGCAAGACGTTGGTGGAGTACCAGGAGCTCACAGGCGCCCGCATCCAGATATCCAAGAAGGGCGAGTTCCTGCCGGGCACGCGGAACCGCCGGGTCACCATCACTGGCAGCCCCGCGGCCACGCAAGCCGCCCAATACCTCATCAGCCAGCGGGTCACCTATGAGCAGGGGGTGAGGGCCTCAAACCCCCAGAAAGTGGGATGAGGCCTGTGGTGCGTGCTCCCACCCCTCTCCCTGTCCCTCCTCTTCCTCCTCCTCCTCCTCCAACTCCCGACCTCAGCTTGGTGTAGTCCTGCTCCTCATGGGACGGGGTCGGGGTAGGCCTGACTGCACCCCCCCCCTTCTGGTAGTCATAGGCAGGATTGAGTACTGGCTGGGGACAGGGCCCAGAAGCCCCCTCCTCAGCCTTGAACTGACCCCTCCTTCCTCCCTCCCTGTGCTTGACTGGGCCTGACCCTCCTCTCCCAGGGCCCAGGTCTGTGTGATATCTGTATATATTGCATTTTGTTGATTTTAATAGAAAACAAAGCGTTATTTTCTCTTTCTTTCCCTCCTTTTTTTTTTTTTTCCTTGGTGAGGATTTTTTTCTTTCTTTTTTTTTTTTTCCTTTTTACGTTTGTTCCCATATGGGAGGAGGGGAGGGAGCCTCTGGGTCACCTGGAATGAGGGGCCTCCCCAAAACACAACACCCCACCTCTCCCGCCTTCAGTTTCAGATGCGAGGGAAGTGATGGGAGAAGAGGTAGTGGAGAAGTCTGAGCTGAAGTGGGACCTTTGGAGTAGGAACCCCATAGTTCCCAGGTTGTCTCAGCTACTCTCTCTCCCCCCACCAGAGTTGCCCCCTCTAGGTGGGAATTTTCACTCTTCTGTTGTCAGGTTGTATTGGAGGCGGGTGGCTGCTGGCAATGAGGCCAGCTGTAGGATTGGACCAGTCCCATGGGCAAGACTGTTGGAAGAGGCTAGAGCAACTTCCTGTGGCATCTACCGTGGCTTTTCTTAGAGTAATGGGAATGAAGCTCCCTGTTGTGATGTCACTGGTCAAGTACTTTCTGGAGTGCTTCTGGCACTCCTTATGATATCACAGGAAGCAGTTCACCAAAGGTCACTTCCAGTAATGGCAACAGGGAGAGGTATTTCCTATGATGTTTTAATGAGCCCTTTCCCAAAGGTCATTTCAGTGATATCATGGGGGCATGTACTCCCTGTGATGTCCTGAGGTGTCACTTCCTATGATGTCTTGAGGTCACTTCCTGTGATGTCATTGGGATGAAGCACCCACTTCCTGTATTGGGTCATGGCCAGTCACTGACCCTTTCTCCACCCCCACCCTACTTTGGTAGGATGGTGGCCTGGGAGGTCTTCCCAGGAGGAGAATAGGGGTGACTTGGATTCAATCTGGAGGACTCTAAGAAAAAAGACCCAGTACAGTTAGGGTCATCTCCATTCAAACACACCAAGTCTGTGAACTCACCTGGGCAGGGAGGGTGGAAGATGGAGCTAGTGAAAACTGCTGTTAAAGACCCTGCATTCCCACCCCCACCTTTTGTATGCATGCTTGTGTCTGCGTGGCTTTGTTTCATTGAGTCTGGTGAGCCAAATGTGTGGTGGCTCTGTCAGGCCAGCGTGGCTTGGTTGTAGGGTTCAGTTGAGCCTTGGTAGGGTCCTTTGGGCCAAAGGTTAGATTGGCCTGATGGCTTCTGGCAAGCTGGCATACTCTGGTGGAATCTGATGGACCAGAATGTTTTGGTGTGGCTTGCCATGGGCTCTGAGGAGCTTGAAAGTTTCAGTGGAGCCTGACAGGCCAGGCAGCCCTGCAAGTTAGTTTGGGAGTGTCTCCTTGAGCACTGTGGCTGTGGTCTGCTCTAAGGACCTGTTGGCAGGCTGAGATTTTAAGGCCTGACAACTCTATGGACTTAGGATAGCTGAGACCCACCTCCACCCCCATATATGTCCCCCTACCCCTTGGAGACCACCTCCACTTTCTCCAACCCAAAGCAGGGCCTCTAGTGCCCTAGTTCCATCATCAGCATTTCTGGGGGAGGGGCATCCCACGCCCACCCTCTCCCCCATTTGTCCCCCTCCTAGGTCTTCCAGACCCTTCTCTTCTTCACGGCTTTGGGGGCCAGGCCTCCTCATCCCTCTCTTTCAGAAAGGGAGCGAAGAAAAGCCACAGAGACAATTCCTACCCCTAAAGCCGGGGAGACCCCTGCCCCTCACTAGAGGGCTACCCCCAAATCAAAATGTGAAAATCCCTAGAAAGCAATAGCCCTCGAGGTACCTTGCACTGAATTCCCCAGCCCAGCCTTTCCACCCAATGGGAGGCTATAGCTTGGGCACTAAGGTGACTTTTTCCGTGCTCTCTTCATCTCCAGGGTGGGGGGCCAGGCCCCATTTCCTCCTCTCCCATCCCCCACCTCCCATCACCTCCCACCCCTAATCTCCAAACTAAACCCAGATGGAGATTTGAGTGCCAAAACAATTCTTGATGTAACTTTGTACATATCTTCTACAGTTGGGGGCTCTTGGGGTTGGAGGTGGGGTGGCTCCATGGGCCATGGCTCCCCTCCGCCTCTCAAAAGACCTTACAGTATTTCACAGTATCTCCACGCACGCGTGGGTATTGCGGTATCTAGCTAGTATATCCCCCCTACAATCCCCTAGGCCTCCACGAGGAGGGGAAGGAGCCAGGGAGAGGTAAATTAAGGTTTGGGCGTGGGGAGGTAGGATCTGAAAGAGCTCTTTTGCATATCATTTGCATCTCATTTGCATCCTCAGCTGCCCTAGGTTTGGCAGATGCTTTCTGTAGACCCATTCAGGGAGTCCGGGTCCCAGTCAGCGCGGGATCCAGTACTCCTCTCACTCACACAGCTACATCTCTGGAGGCTGGGCCTCCTGTAAAGTGTTCCCTTGGGGTGTCTCTGTGACAGCCTCCTCCTTATTCACATTTCTCGGGGACCCCCTACCCCCGCCAGCCAGGGCTTTCGGAAAGGTAGTTTCCTAGCTCAGTGAGCTAACTCACTCACCAAAATGGGGAAAGATGTGTGGCTCCCCACTCATGTTGGTGAGTGGGGAGTCACACACCTTTCCCCATTTTAACCTGGGAACTCACTCCACTGTCTTCCCCATCCCTTGAAAGTCCCTTCTGCAATCTGACCTCAATCTTTTGTGCTGCAGTTTGTCCAGAGGGGACACAGATGTGGGTTCAGGGATGGGGATTATTGAAAATCCCATCACCTCTTCCACCCCCCATTAGCCATCAGATCTCAGAGAATCTGATGGCCTCCCTGCACCCTGCTCTTTGGCACCCAGTAGGTGCTTAATAAGTGTTTGCTGCATTGAATTGTCTCCCTGTTCCTTCCCATTTGCCCTCCTTCTCCCCACTTCCTCCCCCAGCATCTCCCTCTCTCTTTCTTTCTCTGGCTCCCTATGACTTTCTGTTTTACCTCCCCGTGTCTCCCATTGTTGTCTGTCCTGTCTCTATCTTTGTCTGTCTGTCTTCCCCCTCTCCTCAACTCTCTCAACTCTCTCTCCCGTTACCCCATTGATTAAAAAAAAAAAAGTGCCAAACTTCCTTGGAACTGAGCCGCTCTGGGGGGGAGAGGACCTCGGATAGAGGGGAGGGAATGGGCTCCTAAGAGGCATTGAAAAAGTCTGTGAACACTTAGCTAAACTGGGTCCCCCTTCTCACCCCTCCCACCCCGAGTTTTTCTTAGAATCTTTGTAAGAAAAAAAAATGACAGAAAAAAACTCTCCTCTTCAGCTAACCCCCCTACCCTTTTGGATACCCCAAATTCCACCAGCTGGGGAGAACCCCATTTGCCTCCTTTGGGCAAATCTGTAGAAATTGGGGAGGGGGAGATATGCTCAACCCCTACTCTGTGGCCCTAGGGTCAGTGCCAGCTGGACGTGAGAGAAGGATCTCAAAGCACTTATGAGAAGAAGGGGTTCAATGTGCCAAATTCACCTCCTTCATCCCCTGTCTCAGGGGGCTCTGAGCCAACCTGCCCCAGCCACCTTCTTCTGCCCTGTCCCTTCCATCTCTACAGGGGCAAAGAGGCTTCACTGCAATAATTAGTAGGGGGCGGGGGATCAGAAGGTGACGATTGTGCCATCTTTATCTGCCCTGACGCCTGCCCTGGACTTACAGGTGGGAATCATGGGTATCCCAAATGGCGCTTGGTAAGAGTCGACTTATAGACGGTTGGGAACTTATACTTGGAACAATACGGTACCACTTTTCTCTGAGTGGTATTTCTTTTCCCTTCTTAACCCCAAATCCCTCAGTATCCCCTTGTTTTGTTTCTCCTGCCTGTTCCTTCTCTTTATTTTGTTTCGGCATGGTGGCCAACTGTTTGGAAAGTGAGAGAAGTCCTGCTGCACTGATTTCTGCTGTTTCAAAGACCAGAATTAGAGGTTGTGGTAGACTGAGCGGTCATTTGGGCGTCCAGGCTGCCGATTGGGCGCATGTGCTATCGCGACAGCTCGGCAGGCCGCGCACCTGCTGCGTGCAGGTCCTGAATCCGAGGCCGGCTGTCGCGAAAGCCTGAACTGGATATCGCGATGAGGAGAACGAGATCGCGATGCTCGCTTGGTGGGTCGGGCCCAGCGGTCCAGGGACACTGGTTTTACGCAGTGGTGAAGTCGCGACACCCAGCCTTGCCATCGCGATCCCTCTCCACTGCAGTCAGCTGTCTCGACGCCTGTGTGGAGGGGGCTTCTGTCCATGGCGCCGCTGCTGTTGGGTGTTGTCGCCAGTCGCGATAGGGAGTGCTGGTGGCTGGGAGGGAGACGGGAAAGTCGGGGGGGGGGAGGGTGATGTAGGCTGCTGGTTTTTAACCCCTTCTCAGCCAGTCCAGGACACTCTTGTCTCCCAGAGATAATTGGGGGAGGGACCACCTAACCCCCTCCCCCACCTCCTTCTTCCCCACCCCACCCCACCCCCCCAAAACCACCAACCTTTCATCTTCTAAGTGACTCCATCACCACCGGCCACCGGGACCTTCGGCCTCATTGCTCCAGCCCGCCCCACTCGACCGTCAGACTCGCTCATCGAACTCTTTTTGATTAACCCTTTCTGTGTTCATCCCACGGAAAACTGTGTGTCCGGCAAGGGGGGGAAGGGGGAGGGGAGGGGCAGTAGCTACCTTTCCTCCATCTCCTCCCACCGCCCATGCCTCCCCACCCGCACCGCATCCCATGCCCCACCCCTCACCCCTAGGGTCAGCCCCCCCCCCAATCTGGGGGATGGAGATCCTCTATAATCTATGCTGTTTGGCTTTATCTCTTTAAAAGGCGGGGCCAGGGGCGTGGCCTCCCCCAAGTGGTGAGGTCACTCCGGCCACCACTCTTCCCTGCGGGGGGGGGGACCCCCTCGCTCCCCACCCCTTCATTGTAAATAGTCACTTTTTTACTGGGTTTGAGCCAGGGGACGTGGGGAGTCATTTTTTTTTCTTTGTGTTGGCATCTCCGGCCACTGGAGGCATGGCCCACATCCTGGTTTGATTTGGGAGGATCCCAAGGTGGGTC